CCAGTCTGGAGGTTCACAGCTCAAGTTTAGAGGCTTCAACGCCTTTCCTTATACAACTCCTATGCACGCATGCACACACACACATACATACATACACACAGACCATATACACACACGTATATTTATACACATAGACCATATACACACACTCACACACATGCTCACACACAGACCATACATACACACATATACACACACATACATACATACGCACATATGCATACATATATACACATATGCACAGACCATACACGCACACACATGCAAGCACACACTACAGAAAAACACAAATGTATACACTGACACACACATATACACATGTACATACACATACACACACATGGACACTATACACACACATATATATACACACTCACACGCACTTGCACACACACAGACACACACACCACAAGCTACGCCCACGCACTCACTTCATCCTGGGCTGGGATGAACCAAAATAACGGAAGTTCGTGATACAGCTGCTAAGAAAAGGAGGAAGAGAGGAGCCACCGTCCACCCAACCCCTCCCGCCACCGTCCACCCAACCCCTCCCGCCACCGTCCACCCCACCCCTCCCTCCACCGTCCACCCAAGCCCTCCCGCCACCGTCCACCCCAACCGCCCCGGCTCAGAGTTCTTTCTGCTCTGGGAGTCTCAGGTTCTTCTACTTGCTGTTAGGACAACTTCAGAACAGTGTGGTTCCCAGCCACCACCTTTCCCAGAATGCCTTCCTCCCCTTGCAGGAATCAGCGCTTGGCACCCTTTTCTGCGTCCCCACTTCCAGCCCTGAGAGAAGCCCTACTGTGCCTGCACCCTCATGGGCGTGGCCATGGCGGAGACTGTGTGGAGTCCCCTCCGGTGTCCAGCTCTTTACCCCAGCAGTCAAAGGAGATGTGAAACCTCCTGAGACACCACAGGAAGCAGTAGGAGATTTCACTTCCATATTCATGTGAAAATGGGAGGGAGGTTTTTAGAGTCGGAAAACCCAGAGACCTGTGCTCAGCAAAGCGGTTCCTCGCTCCTTTGCCCCCTCTTCTGTTACAGATGCAACTGTGATCTCCCAGTTGGTTCGGGCACCTCTGCTGCCCTGTCCTCCGTCACTTTATCATTACACAGGAACAGGACCCCCAGCCAGGGCCCCATGTGCTTTCAGCTCCTCTATGTGAAGACCCAAATGCTGAGTCCTCAATCCTCCCCCCCATACACACACACACACACACACACACACACACACACACCGCAGCCTCGTTCCCACATGCCTGCAGTGGGTAACCCTGGGGTTTATGTGCAACTTATTAATATAGGGAATCATCTGCCATAGCTGGGAAATATGGGCTCTTAGCCCCACATCATCCCATTTGAGGCCAGTAGGAAGCGGAGGAACACCTGCCGTCAAAGCTAGTTAGCAGGAAGGCCTGAAGAGAGGTCACCGCAGGCAAGGTGGGCAGGGGTCTCTGTGGAGGGGGCGGAGGCAGACCCTGGCTAGCAGGCTGGGTTCAGCAGGAAAGGGGAGCTCCCAAGCCTGGCAGGGTTGTGCCGTTGGGCGTGTATAAGGGGATGGGGCTGTTGGAAACAGAAGCAGGTGCCGGTATTGACACCGTCACTGGAGCAGGTGCCGGTATTGATACCGTCACTGGAGCAGGTGCCGGTATTGATGATACCGTCACTGGAGCAGGTGCCGGTATCGATACCGTCACTGGAGCAGGTGCCGGTATTGATACCGTCACTGGAGCAGGTGCCAGTATTGATACCGTCACTGGAGCTGGACATTAAGGGAAGTTACAGATGTGACTTGAGTGTGACCTTAACCATGTGAGTCTCTTCTAGGCATTTCCTAAATTCATTCTCTGGGAGCTCTCAGCTTCCTCTTCTGGACACATGGTTTTAACTCAAGATCCCATTTTATGACAGAAAAAAAAATGCTGGACCAGTCAATCCCTTACCATATAAAACCAGCAGCGGGGACCAGACCACAGGGCTCTGAGAGCTAGAATTAAACAGCTCAGGGGGTCAGGGGTCAATGGCACGCAGACTTCACTGGTGAACGGCCAACTGGAAAACTTTTGGGTTTTTTTTTTTTTTTTTTGAGACAGCCTCCCCAGTGCTGGGATTACAGGTGTGTGCCACACTGCCCGGGAGAAGCATTTTCTGTACCTATCCTGTCCCAAGCCACTGCATAGAATAGCTTGTTCCCAGAAGTAAAAAAAAAAAAAGAAAGAAACCTGAAAATACAGTTTTAAAATTGGCAAAATAGTGTGGTGTGGTGACAGAATCCAGAAACCCCAGCACTTGGGAGGTGGGAGCTGGGATCAGGAATCCAGGGTCATCCAAGCTACGTGAGACTCTGTCTCAAAAATGACAAAAGGTGACAAAAAATGTCTAAATCTGTAACTGAAAGAGAAAGGAACCGTGGAGAGGTGTTCAGCCTCATAACCAATATAAAAAACCCCAACTCTAAGAGATTCTACCAGCACCCACCTCACTACCAGTGACTCCTGGTGTTAGCGGGACAATAGCAGCCATCTTGCTCTAATAACTGCTCTCTGACCTCTGAACTGAGAATTGCAAACTTGTTGGTAAAAAGTCATGATCAGGAAACAGTATCATTACCCTGAAAAGTCTGCCCTTGAGAGTTGGAATAAAGATATGGTAGGCGCGGGAGGCTTGAGGGCAGCTTCCTCGGGGCTGAGTGTGGGCTGGACTGGCATTGGTTGAGACAGGAACAAGCTACAGTGAAGATAGGCATGGCTCCACCAGGGAAGAATGAGGAATTTGCCCAAAAATAGGATTCCTGCTGGGTAGCTTTTCTGCTCTAGGAGAAGGTGCCACCACATCTAGGCAATCCCAGCACTTGGGGGAGGAGCAGGAAGAACAAGAATTCAAAGCTGTCCTCAGCTACACTGGGAGTTCGAGGTCTACAAGGGATTTCAACTCAAAGGGAGAGAGAACCGGACTGAGGACAGCTCAGGATGCATCTAGATTAAGCTGGGGTATCCTTGAGTGCTCTACAGGGGTGCACATCCCTCCAATTGATGCACTCACCCTCATGTGATCCAGAAGCTAAGCCTGGCTGATGAGAGAGGCAAACGGAGTGGGACCTGCCTGTAATCCCAGCAGCTGGGGGTGCAGGATGCAGGATGGATGATGAGGAGCACAGGGTGAGGGTTACTACCCCTGCACAGCAAGCTTGAGGCCAGCTGGGGACCTTATCACCCACTCACTTGATCAATGACCATTTCCTCCAAGCCTGTCATCTGGTGGAGCAGGAACTTGAGGCTTGGGGAGGAGTTAGCTAGAGTTAGATACAGCAGGTAAGAATCCGGGAGGTGCCACGTGTTTAATCTACTCGGGATGGTGGATCTCTGTGAGTTCAAGGCCAGCCTGGTCTACAGGATAAGTTTCAGGTTGGCCAGAGCCATACAGTGAGACCCTGCCACAAAAAAATTAATAATAGTAGTAACAACAATAATAATAAGTAATAGTAATAATAAAATCAGTTTTAAGCTTTGATTGGCAGGAAATTGCTGGGTACATTTGAAGTAGAACAGAAACCAGAAAGCAGTACGGACCAGGTCCACAAAGGTAAAAGGAGAACAAAAACAAAACCATCTCCAAGGGAGAAAATCAAATACTGAAGACAGAGGTGAACCGGACTGGAGAGACGGCTCAGCGGTTAAGAGCACTGGCTGTTCTTCCGGAGGAACCAGGATTGATTCCAACACCCACACGGCGGCTTACGTCCGTGTGTAGCTCCAGAACCAGGGCGTCTGATGCCTCCTTCTGCTTCTGAGGGCACCAGACACACATGTGGTACACAGACGTATAGGCAGGTCAGACACCCATACATACACAAGTTTTTAAAAATTAAAGAAATTGAGAGGCAGAAGGAATTTTCTGGCGTCCTTAGGTTCTGTGGCGCTGCGGACAGACGGCAACAACGCTGTCACCTGCCCATTCTCCCCGTGAAGGTCTCAGCATTCGTCAGGTACTAAGATTCACAGGAGGACTGGCAGTGCTGGCTAGTGGTTAGAGCGCTTACCCAGCATGCATGAGGGGCTGGCAGCTAAAGCTCTGGCCACACAGTATGAGGACCAGAGTTCTGATCCTCAGAGACCATGGAAAGGCCAGGGAGATGCGGTGGCCCACTGGTAACTCCAGCCTCAGAGGTCAGAGAGGGGCAACGCTCGGAGCAGGCTGGCTCGCAAGACCAGCCACGTCAGTGAGCTCTAGGTCTGAATGAGAGCCTCTGTCTCAGTGTGTAAGGTGGAAGGAGGAGAGAGGATTCCTTTATCTACCTCCCAAATGGCTGTGTAACCACACACACGTGCAAAAGCGTGTGTACATGTGGAAAATGAAAAGAGAAGACAGAGCACACACACACACACATACACACACAACAGTCATTGGGGTTACAACAGCTCTTCAGGGGACACCATTGCTATCCTTCACTGACGTGAAGAACAGAGACAGCAAGTCACTCATCCAAGAGCACACAGTGAAACTCAGACAGCCGTGCCGTCTTTGTCAGTCAGTACAGGCTCTTAGAAATGACATGGTCTAGGCGAAGAGCCAAGGCCTGGGACGAACTGGATGGTTTCCCTTAGACTCTGATACAGTATGAAAATCGGAGATGGCCTTGCCAGTACCAAGCTAACTTCATGAGTTAGGCTCAGCTGCCGCCAGAGCCACCCCCACACAGCCGTGGTCGTGTGCTGCCAGCCCCCACCATCTGCCTGGGACGGTGCCCCACAGCTGCCCTGAGAGAGTTCCTGAGGGTACTGAACGCGTACTTGGAAGACATGTGCGTCTCTGCCCTTGCCGGCTGCTCCGCTTCACCTCAGGATCAAAGAGGACGGCTGTACTAAAGTGATCAGACCAATCAGAGAGCAGCTAGAGGCAGGCCCTGCTAGCCCTGAGCTGATTTCCCAGGGGGCTGAAAGTCAAACAGCTTCACTGGCGACACAGCACGGAGGGAACCAAAGGCACATGCAACTCCTCAACCTCTTTATTGGTTATTGAAGATTCTCTCTACCTCCCTGTCTCATGTGTTTACATAAGTTGGTGGGATAAAGCCATCATCAGCTATGCTGAGATCGGGGGACAGAAGCTGGGACAGCTGGGAGAGGGACTTTCCCACTTCCCTCCCTGATGGGCTGTGTCCAGGGATGAACCTGAATGACAAGCCACCCAAGTCAGGGGTCCAGAAGCAAATCCCACAAGTTAACCGAGTTCAGTGGGCTGGCGTGCGGCTTGGCGGTAGAATGCTTTCCTAGTATGGGAGGGAGAGGTCAAGCTAACGATAAGAAATAAGGTTTATTTCTTCAAAGTGGGAAGGTATGAGGTGGTGGTGGGTGGTGCCCTGGGCTCCTGGCTCCGTCTCTTCTGGATGCAAGTCCAGGGTCAACAGAACCCTCAGCCGAGACACCTGCACACTGGCACACACCCTGAGGAATCCCAGGGACTTCTGCTCCCATGAGAGGCCCTGCTTAGGCACGAGAACCCTGGGCATCCCTGCCGGCAAGGCCTGTGCTGTTCCAAGTGCTGGTCAGGAAGAAATCAGTCTGTGGGAAGAGCAGGGTGCAGGAGCGTCACCAGGACCCTCTTCCCCTGAACCCCGTCATCTCACAGACACTCAGCTGAGTCCTCGATCTCAGGCCATCCCCTTTGTATTTCTTCTCTGTGTCTTTCACGTCATACATCTCCATTCTGGTCATTTCCCCATCCCTTCGTATCCACCTCTGCCCTTCCAAGCATCTTTCCTCAGGTCCTCATGTCCCCTCACCCCCTACTTGAAGCTATCTCTGTGGTCCCCAATAACTGTGTGTAACAGGGTCCCCATCATGCTGCACACAGGCCCCTACACCCAAGGGCATGTGTATGCCCCCCAAAGCAGAGGGGAATCCTGGCACACCCACACTGGCATCCTTGTGCCTGGTTCTCTCGCTTTCCCAAATGACTTACCGACTGAGCAAGGCTTCTGGGACCAGATGAAGAAGGCGATGCCCATGACAATGCCCAGCACACCCAGGCCGAAGGCCACACCACACAGCACATTCTCTAGGAGCTCTGAAGGCAGGGGGTTCTGGGGTACTAGAGCAGAGGGAGTCAGGTCAGCCTGGAGGCCCGGCTGGGGGGCACTCTGCCCAGAGGGACTTGGGGATCAACAAGGGAGAATTGAGGCAGGGAAGCTTCAGTGAGACTAAACTGAAGATGTCCCAGCAAAAGAAGCCCCTCCCATGGGCTCGAGCCTTCCCACCCAAGGGACCAGACTTCCAGGGGAAAGGGCCTCACCCCAGTGGGCAATTGGTGTGTAGCTATCAATCTCGTGTGTCACGAGGCAGGAGTAAAGGTCAAAGGGCTCTGGTGTGAAGTTTAAATAAGAGAAAGCCTGGAAGGTGAGCCCGTCGATGGCTGAGATGTACGTGGGGCTGGCCCCCTCCACAGGGACCAAGTGGTGTTTCCAGGTCACAGTCAAGGTCGGCGGAAAGAGGTTGCTGATGAAGCAGACCAGCGTGTTGGGCTTGCCGAACTCCAGTGGCTTCAGTGTGTACACCTCAGGCACAGGCAAACCTGGTGGCCGGGGGACAGGTGCCAGGGAAAGAAAGGAGGCATTCAGACAGTGCCACTGTTTGGAGAGTTGAGACACACGGAGGGGAGGACAGAGGTGGAGCCGAGACAGATGGAGACATCTAGGGCTCTGGGAAGGGACTTCCCAGCAGCAATTGCAGCTAGGACCCTGTAGAGCCCTCTGCCTGACTTCCTGTCTGTATCCAGGTTGACTTCCTGCCTGTCTGTCACCAGGTTGGCATCTGACACTGCCTTCTGGTGAAGTTCACCCCCGGATCCCTCTCCATTCTCCCCGCCATCTTGCTGGCACAGGGACAAGGATGCTGACATTCGTTCAGTGGGGCCAACTGGCCTCTGTAGCTTCATTAGTTCGGTGAATTTTCAATGCCTTCGACCATCTGCTTCCCCCAGCAGACAGCGTCCAGCTGTACAACGTCGCCGATGGGGAGAAGCATTGAAGCAGCAAAGAAAAGCCCCGAGCAGAACCAGGAGGTGTGAAAGATGGGGGATAAAGGAAAGGAGACGTTTGGGGGAGTAAGACCACAGCACCTCCCGCCCCCCAACTCCACTCCTCGTTCCTGACCTCTGGACACTGGGATCACTCCTTCAAGCTGGGGGCCCACTTGCTGGACCAAGACCTGGCAGAAGTCTTTATCAAATGAAATGGCAGAGGCATCTCCCTGGTCCTGAGCCCAGGCTGCAAAGTTGGGCAGCCGGGGCACTCGGGTGTTCTGGGAGAAGTCGTAGGAGAAGAGCTGGTCCTCGTCATAGGACTCAGAGAGCCCCATGCTGGGGTTCCCATCCTGGCAGAAAACGGTGTGCCGGAACGTGTGGTTTTGCAGGCCATCCCACAACACCGGAGGAGGGGCTGCAATGACACGCGAGCTCAGGAACTTTCTCTTTAAGGTAGAAAACAGTAAGGGTTCCTTCTCCCCGTGAGGCAGAGGGAGAGGAAATGAAGGACTCTTTCCCAACCTCCCCACACACAGAAAGCAACCGTCTCTGCCTGGAAAGAGCAGAGCTGGGCACCGTGGCACACATCTGTGCTGCCAGGACTTGGGAGGAGCATCAGGAGTCCAAAAGCAGCCTCAATGACATATAGCCAGCCGGTGGCACATGAGACTATCTCAGGAAATCACACAGACAGAAAGCAAATGTCTGCAGAAGGAAGCAACAGAGGTGGTCGCTCTGTAAGGCACCATGAACGAACCTGACCTCCTCACCAAGCCCAGGACCCCAGCACAGTGGACATCTTCATCTAATTCGAAAGCCATGGGTGTGACTCCTGCCTTGAGAGGTGTAGGGAAGGGCCGTGGCCTCCCTGCACCCTAATGATGTGGGCCTAAGGCTACCCCTGTCACAAGTATAAAGTAAGGCAGTCTCTGTACCTTCTCAGCCACTTCGGGCTCTCTCACTGACAGCCTCTTTCCTGACTAAACCCTCCCAACCGTGCACTGACAGAACAGGGGACCTGAACCCCTGGCTGCAGGCAGTAACAATCTGCTTTGAAACTCCTGACAGGAATCCCCCAGGCAGAAGGAATCTTTCAACCAGCACCCAGAATAACAAACACACTGTGGCGGGACATTCCGGGTTGCGCTTACATGCCGCCCCGACTGTAACTGATAAGAAACGTAAGAGACCTGTCAAGAACGTGAATTGACGACAGACTAAGCTAGGACCCTGACTGGAGGAGTGTTAATCACTGTGCGGATGGCTGAGACCAGGTCTTGCTATGCAACCGAGGTTGGCCTCAGATCATCCTGCCCCCACTTTTCTAAGCGCTGGGGTTACTGTCCTGTGCCACCACACTTGGCTAGGCAATAACTCTTACTTTGTTCCAACCCCCGCTCTGTCCTTTTCCCACGCTGGGAATTCGCACAGATCTCTTAAGTCAGCCGGGTCTCTTTTCTTCGTCTGAAAAGTGGCTAGCACACAGACGGGGCGTGTGCAATACGTGGGCAGCTTGCCATCCGTGAACAGCACCCGTCTCCTTTGAGTCTGTTATCGTCTGCACTGCCCTCGGGACGGACGCAAAGGGGAGCCAGGGGCTTACCTGCGGGCACCGCCCAGGAGTGGGGCAGCAGCCACAGAAGCTGCAGCATCTGCAGCAGCCCGGCTCCTGACTTCTGCTCGTGGTCCATACCTTCACACCCTGGGTAAATGGGAGCTACTACGGAGTCCCGGGCACCCGGCTCCCTTCCAGACTCACATCACGTTTCCACAGAGCATCTCCAATAGTTGCCTGTCTCGCTTCGGCTACACCAATCACAGAAGTGCAGAGTTCGACATCATCAGTCGCTGAGGAGAGCCTTGGGGCCAGGCTCCTCCTGAAGACTTAGCCCGGCAGGGTGGAAGCGCCTGGGCCAGGAAGGGCGGCCCTGGAGACCTCCGCCTCCTGGTGGAAGGTCTGGCTCCAGCAGGTGGCTGTCTGGGGCGTCAGAGCAGCGCCGCCTGGCGGCAGAACGCCATACCGGGTCAAACCGCACTGAACACCGGACCACAAATTCCAGCGGGCCCCTCATCTTAGGTTGCATATTCCATAGGTCGGTACTTAGAATCAACTTCATCCTGCAAATATCTAGTAGAAAGTTACAGAAAAAATAATAATAATTATGGGGCAGGGCACATTTTGTTGCATTGTTTGGGGTGGAGGAGAGACGAGCTCAGGTGTTCCAGGCTGGCCTAGAAATCACTAGGGAGCTGAGGATGACCTTGACCTTCTAATCCGTCAGCCTCCGCCTCCCCTGTGCTGGGACTATAGGCAAGCAACCATCATACCTGGTTTATTCCGTGCTGGGGACTGAACCCAAGACTTTGCAAAAGGGATTGATACAGGGTCTCCCTCTGTAGCTCAGGCTAGACTGGAATTCACTGTGATCCTCAAGCCTTGGCAACCATGGCTCTGGGATTACAGCTAACAACCAAAGTGTCTGATTCATTTGGTGCTGGGAATTGAACCCCAGGCTTGGGGAGGGCAGACAAGTCTTACTATGTAGCCCAGGCTGGCCTTGAATTCTGTGGCCCTCCTGCCTCACCCTCCTAAGTGCTGGGACTGCCGGTGTGGGCCACCACACCCAGCATAACAAGTTCTCAGTTTCGTACCCTTCGGAGCCTCTGTGAGAATTCACCTCCCTCCATCCTGCCCCAGGTCTGAGTCACGTTAGCCCAGTGTCTCCTGGCATTCTCACCACCTGCCAAAGTACTCCCTGAGGTAACTGCAGAGAGTGCCTGTCTCTGGTGACCCTTGTTTTAACTAAGAATGGCCCCAAAGGGCAAGAGGAGAGGAGGAGACTTGGAGACACAGAAGGTCAAGATTTATAAGGCTTCCTGTAAGTGAGAGCTGAGATCTGTAGCTTAGGAAAGAAAGGGGAAAGTGGCTGACTCTCACGTAAGATTGTGTGTGTGTGTGTGTGTGTGTGTGTGTGTGTGTGTGTGTGTGGAGAGAGAGAACATGCGTGCACCCATGTGTGTGTTTGAACACATGCTACGACACATGATCAAAAAACAACTTTCACAAGTTTGTTCTCTCCTTTTACCTTGGGATCCAGGACTCTTTACCCAGCACCCATTTTGACCTCCTGAGCCATCTTGCTGGCCCCTCTTGTATAACATGCTGTTATTGGTGTTCTATCATATTGCTGTTGATGAATAAGTTTTATTATATATATGAAAATCACTGCATGTGTGCACACAGATATGAGTGTGTACTAGTTCTTTGCACTGCACATGTGCACACATACAAGTGTGTATTAATTCCTTGCACTGTGTATGTACACACATATACTAGTATTAGTTCCTTGCACTGCTCATGTGCACACACAAGTGTGCTAGTTCCTTTTCTTGTTGCTGTGGTTACACAGCTGGCATGCAGCGGCTTAAGGAGAGAGGGTTTGTTTTGGCTTAGGGTTTGTGGGGAGACAGTCTCTCATGGTGGGGAAGGCATGCGGCAGGAGCATAAGGACACTGGTCACATCGAATCTGGTCAGGAAACAGAGAGCTGCCTAATGGTCAGAGTGGTGCTGCCCACTGGCAGAACGCTGTGATGGGCTGAATTTTCTATTGGCTCTCAGACCCCAACTCTTCCTCCAAGATCCCATTCTCTATTTTATTCAGTCTGGGTCCCCAGCCCACAGGCTAGTGCAGCTCAAATTAGAGCAAGTTATCCCTTGACTTACACCCTTTCTGGAACACCTCATAGATACACCAGCAGTGTGTTTCCATGGTGACCTCTCTGGAACACCTCATAGGTACACCCAGCAGTGTGTTTCCATGGTGACCTTTCTGGAACACCCTCATAGATACACCCGCAGTGTGTTTCCATGGTGACCTTTCTGGAACACCCTCATAGATACACCCGCAGTGTGTTTCCATGGTGACCTTTCTGGAAACACCTCATAGATACACCCAGCAGTGTGTTTCCATGGTGACCTCTCTGGAACACCTAATAGATATACCAGCAGTGTGTTTCCATGATGACCTCTCTGGAACACCTCATAGATACACCAGCAGTGTGTTTCCATGGTGACCTTTCTGGAAACACCTCATAGAGACACCCAGCAGTGTGTTTCTATGGTGACCTCTCTGGAACACCTCATAGATACATCAGCAGTGTGTTTCCATGATGACCTCTCTGGAACACCCTCATAGATACACCCACAGTGTGTTTCCTTGGTGACCTTTCTGGAAACACCCTCATAGATACACCCAGCAGTATATTTCCATAGTGACCTTTCTGGAAATACCTCATAGATACACCCAGCAGTGTGTTACCATGGTGACCTTTCTGGAACACCCTCATAGGTATACCCAGCAGTGTATTTCCTTGGTGACCTTTCTGGAAACACCCTCATAGATACACCCAGCAGTGTTTCCATGGTGATTCTAAATCCAGCCATGTTGACGATTAAGATTAAACCACCAACGGCAGCAGCATGGACCAGGGAGCTCAGGTTGCACTTGGAGCCAGGCCATCCAAGGGTCTGCTCCAGTCCATGCAGGTCTTCACACAGAAGAAGATAGCACAACCATGGCAGATTGCAAATGGGAAAACAGTTTCATCAGGATGCACAGGCGTCCCCTGGTGGTGATGGAGCCACAGATACTGAAATACAAGCCACTGGAGTCTGTCCCCAGACAAAGAAGGGTTTGTGCTGTGGGCATCCAGGGCCAGGTGAGGGGCGTGGTCACGTGGTCCAGTTTCATGCTCTCCAACAGTCCATGTCCAGTGCCCGGTGGTCTAGTGCCAGAAGTATGCAGATGAGGCCTCAAAGATCAAAGGCATCCGTGGGGTGGAGAGAAGGCTCAGGCAGTAATAGCACTGGCTGCTCTTCTAAAGGACCTGGGTTCAGTTTCCAGCACCCACATAGTGGCTCACAGTCACCATAATGCCAGTTCCAGGGGATCTGACACCCTCTTTTGGCCTCCAGAGGCACCAAGAACACACATGGTGCACAAACATACATGTAGGAAAAACAGCCACACATAAAGGAAAAAAATATTTTAAAAAAAGACATCCTCACGAGAATGGCAGGACCCTGTTAGTAGCCAAACTGTCACTGCAAAGTTGAAGAGTGTGGAGGTCCTGGTGCCCATGCTCGGCAACAGGAATCCTACTGACAGCCCTGTCCTGAGCACCAGGTCTATCTGTGTGACAGACACTGTGGGATTTTAAAGTTCCCAGGGGAATTACCCACCACAATAAACATATATAAATGTGTGTGCATGTGTGTGTGTCTGTGTGTGTGTGTGTGTACACTGTCTGTTGCTTTAGGCATTTGCAGAGTTTTTGAACCGGATCCTTCATGAATAAGGGGTGCCACCATCTGAAGGCTCGTGTGGGGAGGAGGCTTGGCCCCAAGCTGATGGTACTCTCGGGCGGCAGCTGGGACATTAGAAGGTAGGGCTTGTTGGAAGACATGATGACCTGACAGACTTATCAACGCCCTTCCCTCTCCCTCGCAGCTACTCTGTGGCACCGCTTGCTCCCGCCATGTCCTGCCTAGCACAGACTCAAATGATCGGACCGAAAGACCTTGAACTGAAACCGGGGCCAAGGTAAATCTTCCTTTTATGGGACCTCATTTTGTCACGACAATGGAAAGCTGACACGCAGAGAGACACCTGCACGGCACAGTGCTGTCTTTAGGCACTAAAGGGCCAAGGACTAAGGACAGATGCAGTGTGTTTACATGAGAATGTGCCAAGGGCTGAGGGTGATGTGCAGCGGGAGGACACTGCCTGGCACGCCTGAGGCCCTGGCTTTGGTTTTGAGCCACAGGACAAGAATGTGTCAAGACTTTAGGAGGTTTGAGGAGGTTGGGGGAATAAAAGGGGCAAAGGACTGTCAACTTGTCACTTAAAATCACCATGGAAACAGACCTGTAGGTGTGTCTATGAGGGAATATCCAGGCTGAACTAACTGAGACACCCTAAGACACCCTAAGTATGGTTGGCATGGTCCATGAGGCTGGGGTGCTGCCCTGAATAAAAAGGAGGAAAGAACTGAACGTCAGTGTTCCCGTCTGTCTGCTTCTTGACTCTGCCCACACACAGCCGGCCACCCTTACTCCTGAGTAACTTTGTCACATACCGGGCTGTCCCCTCAGACTGAGCCAAAGCAAAGCCTGCCTTCCTTACGTTGTTTTTGTAAGCATTTTATCACAGTAATAAGGACCTGATGTAAGAGACTCAAGGAAAACCAATTTGAGCAGAATGTGAGAGAAGGGAAAAAAGCATTCCAGGGCAAGGTGGGAAGGTGCGGGAGGGTCTACAGCATCTGCAGCTCCGTGGCATAGCTATGAAAGGCTGTAAGGATGCCCACAAGTCCCCGTGGTGATGAGGAGCATTGTGAACACTAGAGGTCCAGGCAAGAGCTGGCTACGTAGGCCTTGACACAGCACAAAGAGGAGCTGACCTACTCAGCCGGCAACACTGACGTCAACGCTGGGGAACGTGCTGGGGATGGATGTAATTTGCTGGCAAAGTATCTGTTTTGTATGTGCGGGCACTGAGCTCAATGCCCAGTGTGGCTGGCTGGATAGATAGACAGACAGACAGGCAGGTAGGCAAAAAAAAAAAAAAGGCATGACACAAAATATTATTATTTTGAGAGAAAGTATCACTGTGTAGCCCTGACAGTCCTAGAATTCACTATGTAGACCAGGCTGGCTTCGAACCCATAGAGACCCATCTGCCTCTGCCTCTCAGAGCGCTGAGATTAAAGGCATGCGCCACCACAGCCAGCCAGATTCAGCATTTTTTTTTTTTTTTGGATTTTTCAAGACAGGGTTTCTCTGTAGCTTTTAGTTCCTGTCCTGGAACTAGCTCTGTAGACCAGGCTGGCCTCGAACTCACAGAGATCCACCTGCCTCTGCCTCCCGAGTGCTGGGATTAAAGGCGTGCGCCACCACCGCCCGGCTAGATTCAGCATTTTTGAGTGGCTGTTCTTGAAGTAATATGGGCGGCAGGGCTGCGTTCTCAGCACCCCTGGCCGCCTGCCCGGCTAGCTTATGCCCAAAATAATTACACAGACACTGTATTCTTTTAAGCACTGCTTGGCCCTTCTGCCCTAGCCCTTAC